GGGGGGGGGGGGGTGTCGTAAAGTGAGACCCTTGGCGTGATGGAAAGTGTCAGAAAGGAAGAAGATGAGCTGGTGGGGTAGACCAGACACAGGCCCATGCTCACATCCTTGTGATATGTGTGTAAACAGTGGGCGGTGTCTGTGCGTGGTTGCTGTGTTTGATTCTTATGTGTGGCTTCTGTGTGTGGACTATTTATTTTTGTGGCCCCTTTATTTGGTTTCCCGGCCTGCCTGTGTGTGGTTTCTGTGTGGGTTCTGTGTGGTTTCTGTGTGGTTTCTGTGTGCTCTCTGTGGGGTTTGTCCTAAAGTATTGAAAACGTAAAACAATTGGTGTTAGATGAAAATCTTGGTTTTGTATCCTTAAAACATTATTCACCGTCCATTGTCACAGTCTATAGAAACAGTTCGATCGTAGAGCTTGTGTGTGTTTTCTTTGTTTTTAAATGAAAATTATTTTTTTTACATAAAAATCCTGTCTATGACAATGTACATTGTATCAAGGAAATATAATGCCCATGAAGTCACAAACCTTAATGTGAACTAATAAGTCCCCGCATATGTCTAAGAGAATTCACTGCTTAGCTTCTTGTTGTTTTTTTTTTTTTACTATTGAAATAATTTATTATAAATGTCTTGTGTTCAAATTGTGTTATTTATGTGCTGAAAATGTACAATGCAATCCAAGAGACAATACCATTTGTTTGGATCAATAAAAGAATTTCATCTTATCTTTATCTTAATAGAGTTTTTGGTTTTGAAAAAAAATGCGAAAAGAATATTAACCTGAAATACACTTATTTTAATAGTAAAACCTGTGTTCAATGTACTAACGTCAATATGCTGTGATGCATATGGGTGAATAGCCCCCCCCCCCCAGGGACAACACCAGAGGGGGGGGGGGCGGCGCTAAAATTTAAGAACTCAAGTTAACAAGCATAGTATTAGCGAGTCATCCATTAATAGGCAAGTCGTGGAAAATGAAGCAACAAGTAGCAAGTGAGATGAAGCAACAACTAGCAAGTGAACGACTTTTCAACTATCATTAACACTGTCTTTTTATTCACTCATAACATTTTTTTTTAGTTAAATCAATTTTATCCCAGGATATCGGAATGACGGAAATACTCTATTCCCGTTATCCAGGGATACGCCAAAACCCTGGAAATCAAACAACCCTGGTAGCCATGCGCTATTGCATTTCCTGATTTTTGTAGGGTACATTTGTGTGTGTGTGTTTGCAGTGGGGGTTTCTGTTATAATTACTGATCATGTTAGGCAGCGTTTTAATTTAATTACTTTTCCAGCTCATTGAATGCACCCAATAACAACGAGATCGAGAGGAAATTTAGTTTTCCACCATTATACACTTAAGTTTTCCATCATTATACACTTAAGTTTTCCACCATTATACACTTAAGTTTTCCATCATTATACACTTAAGTTTTCCATCATTATACACTTAAGTTTTCCATCATTGTACACTTAAGTTTTCCATCATTATACACTTAAGTTTTCCACCATTATACACTTAAGTTTTCCATCATTATACACTTAAGTTTTCCATCATTATACACTTAAGTTTTCCATCATTATACACTTAAGTTTTCCATCATTATACACTTAAGTTTTCCATCATTATACACTTAAGTTTTCCATCATTATACACTTAAGTTTTCCATCATTATACACTTAAGTTTTCCATCATTATACACTTAAGTTTTCCATCATTATACACTTAAGTTTTCCATCATTATACACTTAAGTTTTCCA